CAGTAATACAGATAAAAAATCAAAAGAAAAAAAATTGTGTAGGTCTTCTGGACGGGTTTTCTAATGAAACGTTTCGTCTCTTCTCCGAGAGACTTCTTCATTTCTTTCTTTCTTCATTTTTACCTGAAACTCTCAGACTGAAGAAGTCTCTTGGAGGAGAGACGAAACGTTTCATTAGAGAAGAACCCGTCCAGAAGACCTATACAATTTTTTTCTTTTTAATTTCTCTAGTTATTGTTATTATTTTTATAAAATGAGTCGCCCGTGAAGAACCGAAGACGTGTGGAGGCCCAGCAGCAGCACAGTATTTTTATCTTCAGGGAATTGTATACCTGCTGATGACAAAGTCACACTTTGTACACAACCTGACCTTGCCTCATTGATCTGCCTATTTGGAGTCTGTGCTGCACAAACACATACCAATGAAGATTTCTAACAATTTACCAATATGAGCCACTAAAAAGTGTTAGTTTTAATTATGTGGAGCTAAAAAATTAATGAGAACTCCAAAAGTCAGCTTATAATAAGATACTATGATTAATTGTGCAGTTTGGAGGAGGTGAACCTGATACTGGGGGGGTCCTGGGGCCCCAATTTGGCAAGTTAAGCTTCCAGCTGGGCTAAACAATGCCCCTGTTACATTATATTCACTTACAAAAGCCAGCCTGGTTTTCTAGTTCACTGGTAATGGCTGTGTTTAATAGCATCACCCAAATCCGAAGGGCGACAGCATTTCCCGCTCAGTGCGTAATTCCTGCGGCGCTGAGCGTGTTTGCCCTTCGCTTTTTAATCACAACATCCACCAGTGAGCTAGCCGTCCGCTGTAGCGCGGGGACTTCTAATCCTATGCCCACTTACGAGCGCTCCGTTCGGCCACGATGACCAGCGCCGACGCGCCGAGCAGCGCCGCCTGGCACCAGGCGATCCAGCAGCCGCTCCGCCGGGCCGCCGCCGACGGCATCCTGCGGGCCAGCGCTCCGGGAGCGGCGCGTATCATGCCGCGGAGCGATAAAGAAGAACCGGAGACATGATCCTGGGCATCCTTGCCTCTCCGGCGGGTACATCCGCTCCTCTCTCCGCTCCCCTCTCTCCTCCCCTCGACCTGTACCAGAGTCCGTGACGTCACCGCGCGTTTTAAAGGGCCATAGATAGGATGGTAACCACTGTACAGAGCTCATCTTTCCTCCACCGTGGAAATTTTATCCCTCTCCTTCCTCTGCTGCATATTTTGTTTCAGAGAAGACCTTGTGTTCATTTAATTCATGTAAGTTTTTTATCCATATGTATGAATCTCCCTTCACCTGAGAGAAATAGGACTTTTTAATGCTGCTTTGTAGGGGTGCAACAATACATGTACCGTATCGAACCGTATCGAACAGTACAATACACACTTGTATCGAACAATACAAATTTTTACAATTTACTTTATCAGCTTGTCTTCTGAAGATGCTCTGTGTTGAAGGATCAGTGGATCTGTGTTCGATTACTCCACCTAGGCTGCATTTTTGAGCATAGGTCCACTGAGAAACTTGCTGTTTCAGCAACATTTAATTTTAAAACTGTACTTTTGAGGTTAAACAAATGTTCATAATTAATTTAAACAAATTACAAGTTAAAAGGGGCAAGGAAATGTCTATTTTTTGTATGAAAAAAATATCAAACCGTGAGACTAAAGTATCGAACCGAACTGTGAATTTTCTGTATCGTTGCACCCCTACTAGATAGATAGATAAGATAGATAGATAAATAGATAAGATAGATAGATAAATAGATAAGATAGATAGA